CTGCCAGATAACAGTGACATTGTTTTTCCCTGATGTCAGCAGAGAAACCCAAACACAAAGAGGTGAATGTAGTCTTCTGAGGGAGCTCTGGAGAAAGCTGAATGTCCGACTTGTGCCTTGCATCCCATAGCACTTAAAACTGCTGGGCACAAGAGAAGAGTGTTTCCTGGAACTGGGGCTGCCTCTAGGCATCTGGGCAAGACCTCAGCTGTGGACAACAGCTGAAGGATCATGAGATGTGCATGTAGCAGCACTGGGAGCTGTATTGCCACTGTCCAGAACCAAGAGGGATCCATTTCTTTGTCCTCAAGTTCAAAGAATGTGCACTTCTGGTAGGCTTGGCCTTATCGTTGGGTAGATTTATAGCCATCTGTGGGTCATTTTTTACTTTACAGCTCACTGTGAGCCATCTTATTTTCTCCTGTAGCATCCACCTGTTGAGTCTTGCTTGAATAATTCAATTTATTCTGTATTAGGTAGGTGATGGTCCAGGGGATATTTAGATCTAGCTGCAATAGAAGCGTTGTTTCACTTTAATATAGGCAGCACATAAGCTCTTGTATTGGTTCCACAGAGATAGTAATTAAATACTTGATGATATGCTTTGGATTCATAGCTGCTCTTCTCAGCAGCTTGAATGTCCTCTGCCTTGATCCACCTTCCACATGGGAAGTTTCACAATTGGACTGACTGTCCATCACAGCTGAGAAAGCCATAAAGGCATAGTAATATCTGTATTATTCATTTTCTACTATTCTGAGGTCTACAGAAAGGTAAACAAAAAGAGGGAAAAAAGGAAGAGAAGGTTTTAAATTGCTTTGTGTTTTTATTGCTGTGGTTGGTATTAACCTACCCTGCACCCTTGGCTCAGCCTCGTTAAGAGCCACTGCTATTCTGTGCTTTGTCTTAACAGACAAATCAAACAGTTTGTGTGTTGTGTTAATTATGAAAATCAAATTCAGTAATTCCTCAAAAGCTGCTGCTAAAAATCTGTTTTGAAGAAAGCCAGGCTGTTAAATGCTGCTTCCTGACAGGATGGAAATCCATGAGTCGCTGAGGTTATGAATGTCTAGACAGGGAACATGAGAGGAACTATGCTCAGTGGTGAAGGGTCCTCCTTGTCTTAGGCCCCCTGAAACAGATACAGCTGCTTGTGGTGCCTTCTTCTAAGAGTGGACATCAAACACACTATAGTATTATGTGTCACGGGATATAAGCATCTGGAGAGCAGCACATCTCAAGGAGATTGTGCTTACATTCTGAAAACAAATGCGGAGAGCAGGACCAGGTAGCTCCCAATGAAGGTAGTGGAAGTTGCTGGTTTTACTGGGGTAATGCAACCAAGAGAACCTATCTGGGCTGTTTTTCCTTGAGTATCAAGCCTTTACACCTGACAAGTCCATACTTAGATGGGAAGAATATCCTAGAAGAGGTGCATTTTGTGTCATAGTAAGTAATCTCCTACTGGGCAGTTTAGAAGCTTAGAGTTGTTAGAAAAATCCGAGATTAAGGAAAATGCACTTAAGAAGCAGGCGGGTTAGGCAGGTTTTCAGGGTCTTTCCTCCTAGCTGCGGCTCCGGTCCCTTTGAAGCCTCCGAGGGTCCCGAAGGGAGTTTGGGGTACAGACACTGGTCAGGGACCGAGAGGCAGAGGTAGAGGAGCGCAGGCGTTAAAACGCGGACTGCGGGGAGGGGAAGGGCTTTCCCGGCAGGTACTCCCCCTCCAGCGAGGACGGGGCTTGTGCAGCTCTCGGGGCCCGCTCCGCGCGGCTGGTCGCTCTATTCCACGGCCATGCGCGGTGCCGAGGGAGCCCTGAAACGCCGGAAGCAGCTATATAGAGAAAGGGAATACAGGTATGTGGTAACTGGGGGCGGCAGGGGCACTGGGGCTGCCTACCTCTGATAGCGCGCGGCGAAAACGCCCTACAGCCGGGGATGTAGCTCAGTGGTAGAGCGCGCGCTTCGCATGTGTGAGGTCCCGGGTTCAATCCCCGGCATCTCCAGGGGCTTCTTTTCTTTTGTTTTTTTTTCCAACCCTTCTCCCCGAAGGAAGAAAACGGCGGCGCGTCTTCCCGGTCGGGAATCCCGAGGGGAAAACGAAAGGAAAGCGCTCTGGGCTCCCGCCGCAGCGGGTTTTCTGCCAAACACAAAGCGAAAGGGGAAAAAAAGAAAAAAAAACAAAACAGAAATCAAAAGCAAGTTGCATTGGCCGGGAATCGAACCCGGGCCTCCCGCGTGGCAGGCGAGAATTCTACCACTGAACCACCAATGCGTGCATTCTGTGTAGTTGTGGAGGCCCCCTGCATACCTCAATCGATCGTCCAGAAAGTTCCTTAGAAAGTGAGCGATGTCTATCTATTTTATTCCTGCAGAGTATTAAAAAAAAAACAAGAAATTGCATAATACACCCATCATAAAATCACAGAATCCCAGATTAGAGGGGATCTAGGAACATCTAGTCCAACCCTTCTAGGCAAAGCATGATCTAGACTACCTGGCCCAGCAACCTACCGAGCTGCATCTGAAGTGTCCGTCGCTGGAAATTATTCCATTGGCTGCTTGTTCTCAGTGTGAAAAATTTTCCTCTTGTGTCCAGCCAGAACCACCCCAGGAGTAACCTGTACCCATGACCCCCGCTCTTTTCTGTATGACTCCTTGTAAAAAGGGAGTCTCCATTTTCTTGGTAGCTACCCTTTAAATAGTGGAACATAGTCATAAGGTCTCCCCTAGGCTTTCTTTTCTCAAAGCTGAACAAGCCAAGCTCTCTCAGCCTTTCCTCATATGGCTGCCCTATCCTTCTATTATTATCTCTGTGGCCCTTCCCATCATCCTTTACATTTAAAAGCTTTCAGACCAAGTCACCCAAGGTGTATTTTTATTCCTTTTCCATTCCAGAAGGACTGTGCCAGTCAAGGGTTTAGAGGCTCAACTCATGTGATCTACTGATAGAGGAATCCTCACCGTTCAATGCCTGAACTTTGGTCTCTTCGCTGTGTCAACTGGTGTAGCTCTGTGGATCCTGACATTCCAGTGCAGCATAAATTTGTGCAGTGATAAGATATCCAGAGAACACCACCACTTGCACTGCAATACAGTGATGCCATGTTCTAATATAAATTGTGCACAGTCTTGACATTTAGTTTCTCTTGGTGGCGCTCCCACGAACAGCCACACCAAATTGTTTAAGGAAAAGCAAGATTAAGCGTCTCACGTTCATTAAAATGTATGTATGAGAAGCACAGCTGTGCTTAAGATATACTTCAGGCAGAATGGGCACCTACCATCAATCCTTGCAAAAGAGGTGTTTTCTTCTTCAGAAAATACCTATCTGTATCTGGCACTACAGATAATGTTCCAGGTTCCTGTGTGAACATACATTAACACCTAAAGCTTCCCTATGGAGTCTCCTGCCTGCTTACCAGTCCTGCAGCAGTCACCTAACTCTTCCCAACCACACATTAATTTTGTGGAAAGGGTGAAATTTTCCTGCACACACAAAGCAGAAGCTGAGCAAAACTTGTGTTCTTACTGAATCTGCAACTTCTTCCTTTCCACTGGCAGAAGGAAACACAGTAAATACTTCAGATAATAACGATTGTTTAGGCTATTGCTTACAGTTGCATCTGTCAGCCTTCAAAAACTGTTTTCCCAGACAAGCGTAGAACCAGAAATCCCAAAGCAGTTAAGCAAAAAGCATTCATGTTGAGAAGACTCTTAATTCACTGTTTTAATATAACTGAAAGTTAGTCATGCTGAAGTAATAGCAACCACTGACCAACTCATTTCCCCCTTTCTCCTACTTTTATTCTTTCATTTCTGGAGAGTTGAGGCACTGCAGCCAAAGGTCAGCTGGCAGGGACGAATCGGTGATGTGAGAACCAGCTGCAATCTGTAAGAGAGAAGAGTCCTTGGACTGGCTCTCTTGGGCTGATCAGGGTCATTCACAAAACATGCTGTGCTTCTGAACTGCTGCTTGTTGGGGAATCATTTTGCAGAGCATTGCCACAGTAGCAAACTTTGCACTATTAGCAAGCTTCTCTTGTTCCCAGGGTAGAAACAAAACTCATTCTCGCAGTTGTTGTTCATAATTTAGAGAACAGTTTTCCACATCCATGAGACCACAGCTTGCATCTGCTTGGAACATCTGTGGATGTTGGATGACATACTGCAGAGATCTGTGTAAATCAGGAGGAGTCTGGCAACTCGTGCCTCAAGGAGCTCAAAAGTTGCTCTAGAACATGCTCTGGAAACTGTTTTTCAAACTTCATGACACAGGCTCATACTTGGCTTCCCTTTTAAAATGACCCTATGTAGGAGAGTGATGAATGAAGGAGAGAATTGAGACCTGTAATATTAGACAATGGTGGTCTGGAGCCTCAGAACTGATGAAAATTTCATAGGATCAGTTCAGCTGATTAAGAATATGCATCCTGTTCCAGTGATACAGTCTTTTGGACATTGTCTTAATCATCACAGTGGTTAGGAGAATCTTCCCTGAAAAACCTCAATGCAGAAGGAGATGTTCTGTGCAAAGACAGCAGAGCAGTGCAGGACCATCCAGTGAAATTACTGTCTGAAATTTAAGTACAGATACCTCATTAAAAAAAATGTGTCTCTAGCTGTCATCTATCAAATATCTGTAATTGTAGGAGTTCAGAAGATGGCTTGAATGGCATCAAGAATCCAACTTCATATAAAGTTATAGAATCTAGGGAAATACTTTTTAGTGAGATTGCTTAAAATGTACTTTTGTACATTTCTACCCAGTATCTGATGAATGGGTGGGAGGGTTTACCTTGTGAGGGACTTGGGACATCATCCCCTTTGGTCTTCTTCAAGTCTTTCAGGCAGCTAAGGAGATGCCACAGACGTTCACCAGAAACAAGGCAAAACTTGTTACAGGAAGAAGGAAAAGGATTTTCTTTGGCCTTTTTATCCCCCAGAAGGGGACAAACACTTTTTTTTCTATTCTGGGTCCCCTTTAAAGGGACTTGTACCTTGATGCTTCTGCCTAAGGCTTGACACAGTGCCTTCCCATGGGCTTTGCTGCTGCAGAGCCGAGCCATGGAACTCCAGGTCTGCTGTTGACTCTGCTGTGTATCTCTGAGGAAGATGCTGTAGCTTAGGGTCACCTGTAGACTCAAACATCCCAAGTTCAGCTGCTGTGGCTGCAGTAGGAACAAGGTAGGGATTAATAGGCAGTGGTGAAACAGCTCAAATCAACTTAAAATTGCAGGTGTGGATTACCTGGGGTGGGGTGAGTGGATAACACTCATTCCCTCTGCCCAAGCACACATGGACCCATGTTCCCATGTCATTCGTTACAATTGCGGCTGTGCAGCCACCTGCTTTAAAACTGGTGTTGCATCAATCCTTATACACATGAAAGTGTGATGCCACAAATGTAGCTGTACTCTTTGCTCGGATGAACCTCTTCATGTGCTGTATGAAAGGGAGATCTTGTTAGAAATAATGCCTGAGGAGTAATTCAGGGCGGCCTGAAACATAACATACCTCTTTGTAAGAACCAACTGCCCAATCATTGGTTTCTCATGCTTAACTAACACATACATAGTACTTAACATTACTGGAGAAGTCTAGCCAAGACTTCTTACTGGCCCCCAAAATAATGAAAGATAACTTCAGGCCTTTCAAAATGGCTTCTAAGTCCTCTTCAGTAAACGCTTGCAAAGTGTGCTCTTTTCTCTGCTTCCAGAGTGCAGAAAAACTATACCATCTCTGGTGAGCTCTCCACTGAGTGGAGTACACGCACATCAACTTGATTTTAACAGGTCACGGAATAAGCCAGGCATTTAAAAATATCCACCTACCCAAAAGGACAAATGAATACATATTGCAGAGCCTTCAGCAAAGATTGTTGAAACAAAACAAACAAAACAACCGTGGTAATCTTTTAGGTAAGACTTATAATGTAGAACAACTTGTCAGTGCAGGTTAAAGTTTTAAGGCCTAGCAATTTTGACAGCGTCCCTTTGAGCACAGTGAGAGCACAGGGACGAGCAGGACAGCAAAAGGTCACTTGGTCACACATACCTGCTGCTTCTTTTAAGTTTATCTCAAGACCCACTAGGCACGTCCCAATTAATTATTTAAATCTGCAAGGAAGAATATGTCTGCAGATGAGCTAGAACAATCTTAAATTCTGGGGAAGCTGCAGGATGGCTGGCATGATCAAAAATAGTGCTAAGAGGAAGCCAGGGCACAATACCTAATCCACAGGCTCGGACACCTAGGGAAGTCATTTACATTCAGTAATGCTGATTTGTTTCACGTATCAGCCAAGTGGGAACTTACAGATTTTCCTATATCCTTTCGTTTTCAACTGAACAGTTCTGGATTACAAAAGGTCACCAAACTCAAACTGATAATGATATATGTGGTTATTTAAAATAACTTTTCCCAACCCAAATATTGATTATGTTGCTGGCAATCTGCATAAATTCCTTATAAATCTGTGGACACCCTGTCCCAGGTACAGTTCAAATGGTGACAAACAAAAGCCATCAGGCAAGCAATGCTAGTGAAACAGGCATTGGAACAAGAGCCCCAAATCCTGCCTATTTATTATGTACTGGAATATAGGTGAGGGATTTCAAAGTGATTGTATATATCTTTGAATAAGTTTTCTAAGGTTTTCCCTAAACAATTCAATGGAGAACATACCTGGATAAAAAGTGTATTTTCACATGGGCTGATTCTGGCCTGTCACTGTCTGAGAGAAAAAAAAAAATACAGCACAAATTCCAAAAAGCTTTTTGTGTTCTATTTTCTGAATATAATCTCTCACTCTGGCACAAATGAAGACAAAATAAATCACGTTTTTTATATTTCCTGCCACAACAAAGATATTTAAACAATAGAAAATAAACACTCTTGAATAGTCCAAGCAGTCTTGCTTTCTGTAAGATAGTGTCTTTCTTTTTTCTCTCTCTCCCAGTGAAATTCATGTTCTCTGTTAGACCTACCTCAGCTGTTTGCCCTAGAAGAATATGGATACTCCACATGGCTCCTTTTCACTGCCTAGCTCTCTAGTAGTTGCTTGTGCTGCAGGGAGAGGGCAATTAATTATTGCATTTGTTCTACAACAATGAATGTGACCTGTCACCTTATTCTTTTAAGACTGCAATTTTTTGCATTTGTTTCTGTGATTCAGCCCTGATGTGTTATCTTTATATAACAGCAAACAATGAGACACAATCATGATAGTAACACATTAGTTTTAATACAAAAATGAGCCACTTTCTCTTTTCAGATACACATGTGCACACAAACACCAAGGACGTTTTAATCTGTTGCAGGGGAGGGGGAAAATGACTCAACACCAGCAATACAACCTGGCTCAGCCAGCAAACTGGCTGAGTACATCTCGTGTGATGTACTACAGTTGTATTTCTGAATGATACCAGACACCAGCAGCCAGAGATGGGAATACTTTTAATTATTTAATCATGGCCATGACTAGGTACTGTTATTTTATAATGGGAGGACCTACTGCAGGTCCTGCTTGAAAAAATCTCTGTAGAGAAATTCTGCTTCTGTTTCTGTCACTTCATTTCAAGTCTCCTGCCATTATTACCTCTTGCTCCTCCCAAAGACTTTTTCCTGAAGACAGATTAGGAGAAAACATATTTGTGAACATACAAACAGATTTTCTTCTTATGATATATAACACTGGCATATAGTCAGGCAACGGTGATAATCTTTTTCTCCATCTTTCCTTGCTAATGAAGAGAAACTGCCTCCGGGGTTAAGGAGAAGAGGTGAACTCTCCCTGAACACAATTTACAGCTGCTGAGCACATGATCTTGGGCATCTAAAATTCTTGTCTTGGCACGTGTCCCAAGGACCAAGCCGCATGCATGGACACTTAGAAGGTAGTATTTTCATCTAGACATTACATAAAAAAACAGACTCAAGAGGGATGAATTGTGTGGTACTTTCAGGTATCTAATTTTTTTTTACCTAATGTTGTCAAAATCTGCCATTATTCAAACTTATGAAGACCAACCTTTACCAACCAGTAACTAAGTTAAAAACCCAGCTGGAAAACTAACTAAGATAAAAAGATAATGGTAGTTAAAGAAGCCTAATAAAGGGAAGAAAGAACAGCCCATCCCTTGCTTGGGGGTAGCTGAACATGTGAACAGGTAGAGAACCACTCCTGGAAAGGGAGATTGCTAGAAAAATGGGATCCTTATAAAAGTTTTCAGTCATTCTTGGATTTACCTTATACGAGAAGAGCAATATGGCACTTGCGTTTTTTACTACCCTTTAAGATTTTCCTGGCTCGGAAGAGTTCGTGAAACACAGAAGTGCTGGGGTGCAGAATATATTTACTTGGGAACTGGATGTACACATATTTTACACTTATACGCTGCCTTGTTCTGAATCGATCAAAAATTATCGTAAATTGATACTGACAATGCAGCCACATCTGGGTAGACAACAACCCTGAGGGGTGGGAGGGTAACAAATTTGTGATGATGTTTTGAATAGTTGTTAGAGACAGACAAAACAACATTTAGTATCATGTTAGTACACACATATATGGGGTAGGTATTCACACCTAGAACTTGTGTGTGTTGGATTATGCTGAAATTATTCAGCACAAATTGCATTTAAATCCATTTTCTCTCAGTCCAATTACTCTTCTTCCTCTCTCACACTCTAAAAAAAAAAAAACCCAAACAAAAAACACACAAAAAAAAGAACAAAAAGCCCAACCGAAAAAAAACCTGAAACCCAACCAAACTGTACTCTAAAAAAAAAAAACAATGAATCCACTTTTGGGCCTTTTCCTTTCATTGTCCATTCATTCTGTCCAGCTGAGGTACTCCTGTAGATTTTAAGCTCGAGTATCGAGTATATGATACACTAATTCCAGCTGCCACTAGAGACCTTATTTCCTTATAAGAGCACTGCCATGTGCCTGGGGTAAAAACTGCTTCCAGCACTGGTGGCCTGAATATCACTTACTTTGCAAAACTTCTGAAATCCAACCCTTGCAGTTGTTCACTGACTTTAAATGCTACCTAGAGAATTGACAGCCATACCTTGCTATTGCAGCATCCAGTTTAGGTCATCTGGTTATATCTGACCCAAGAGGGAGGGATTAGGTTCCTATGGCCTTACCAGATGGGACCTGCTACTGACATTTCACTGGCTGACAGGAACAGGGAGCATGCCAGAAGGACAGTGGGAGGGAGGTGTGGCCCATCCTTCATGGCAGCAGCATGTTGTTTTACTGTGCCTGATAGAAAACACGTCTCATGCTGCATATAAAGCACGTTGACTAAATAGTAAGCATGGAAGAACAGCGATAAAAGCACTTTCTGGGAGACAGCCAAGAAGCACAATTAGAGGCACTGCTGATCCCTGTGTGCCTGGAAAGCAGGGAACCACAGGGAGTAGAGTGTAAAGGGTCATATGTGACACCAACTGCAACAGGCAACTGATACAGCAGTATGTGGGCAGAGACAGACTTGTGATGGGCTTACAGGTATAAACAGTCATATGATCAGCTTGTGGTTTTGCCCTTCATGGAAAAGGAGATCCCAAATTCTTGTGGAACCACAACTGCAGTGCACTAATAATGTAAAGTTGCATGGAAAAAAGCCACAGCTAAAAGTTTAACAATGTGTTTTGGGGGAGGAGGAAGAACCTGGCTTATCACTAATGCGTGTCTTGCTTTCTCACTGCAAAAGAAGCAACAGGCAGGAATCTCCAGATGATTCCCCAAAAAACACCTAGCTATATTTGCCAGCTGCATCCCTAGGACCCTGAAGCGTGGGAACAAGGATGAGAAACAAAGATGACCGTTAGAGACCATAACTCTTAAACTCTTAGAATCAGCTCTTCCAAGTCTTGTCATTTGGTATCACAGAACAGAAAGAAGAATGAGGGGATACAAAATCATAGAATCACAGACTGGTTTGGGTTGGAAGAGACCTTAAAGATCATCCAGTTCCAAGTCCCCTGCCACAGGCAGGAACAACTTCCACTAGATCAGGTTGCTTAAAGCCTCATCCAACCTGCCCTTGAGCACTGCCAGGGATGGGGCAGCTACAGCCTCTCTGGGCAACCTGTGCCAGTGCCTCACTGGAAAACACTTCTTCCTGATATCTAATCTAGATCTGTAATCTTCTCAGTTTAAAGCCATTTACCCTTGTCTATCACTACCTGCCCTTGTAAAAAGGCCCTCTCCAGCTTTCTTATTGGCCCCATTAGGCACTGGAAGGCTGCTTTAAGGGTCTCCCTGGAGAGATCCCAACCCCAGCTCTCTCAGCCTGCTGAAATGTCTCAAGGTATCACCCCATCAGCAATTTACAAGCCTTACACAAGTGCCCAGGGATGCTCAAGACTAGGAATCTGCTGTTTTGGAGAGGTAAAGAACTGTGAAGCTTTCAGCTCAGGAAGCCCTCAATAGAGAAAAACAAGCCTGCATACCCCACGCTGCAAAACTAAACTGAGATTCACCTTGTCCAGCGCTTGTGCTCCGAAGTTCCCTCTCTGTCACAGGGCAAGTGTCACCCTGTGATAGGCTCCTGAGGGCCTGCTATGCAGCCTGCCTGCAGGTAGAAACTCTGGCTTTGCTGAGCAGCTGGATTAGCTGCTAAACTTTGCTTCTGCCAAGTTCGGTAGAAATCGGGAGCCCACTGGGGCTCATGAGAAGTTTCAGTTGAAGTAAAAGTGCTGGCAGGTGTATAAGGATGCTGAATCATCATTTCTCAACTATCTTCATGCCATACTGCCACAGTATGTGCACTGGAGACGACAACTGAAAGATATGAGAGCTTCTATATATCCATTATGCACATCGTATATTTTTTTTTCTTTCAAAGGTGCATCCTCAGAGATGTAGCATTTTTCTGGTATAGGATTTCCTCTGTGAATCATCCAGGTTATGAATATTACAGCTCTACTACAGGTCAAGAGATGTGTCGGAAAGGTCCTCTCTCTGCTGCACTGTTTACTTACCCACTATGCAAGCAGTGAAGGATCTACAGTAAACAAATGGGCATTAATATATATTAATATAATGGATCTGTTCCCCATAAGGAAGAAACCTCTGGTGACCCGAAAGCGAATCACCACCAGAATTCCTCAGAAACGACGATGATCAGTTCATTCAAATACAAGTTCCCGGCTGAAAGGCAAGGGCGAACAGCCCCAATGCCCGATGCCCACCGGAACCAGGGCAGGAGCCGGACCCGGAGCCGGGGCCGGGGCCGAAGCCGGAGCCGGGGCCGGAGCCGCGCCCGCCCAGCCGGGGCCGGAGCCGGAGGAGGGGCCGGGCTTCACGCCGCTCTCTTCAGCGCCGGAGCGGGAGGCGGGAACAGGCCCCGGCAGCGGGGCCTAGCACACGCGTTTTCCCCTAAGGCGAGCAGGCCTCCCGCAGGGTCCGGCTGCGATCTGCCGTCCGGGCCTAGCGGCGGGGAGGGAGGGGAGGTGCCGTTGCCGTGAGGGCGGAGCGAGGCGGGGGCGGTGAGCTGCCGGCGGCAAGGCGAGGTGTGCCGCGGCCGGAGGAGGCGCGCAGGTAGCCGCCCGGCATCCCTCTGCAGCCCGGAGAGGGAAGTGAGCTCGCCCGGTGTCCTGCAGTAAGTGGCGGTCGGGGCTGGCGGCGGGGGTTCGACAGCGGGAGGAGAGCGGAGTTTTTGCACCTGGGCCCGGCCGCGGAGAGGAGCAGTCCGGGCCTCGGGGCTGGCTCTGCGGGAGCCCCGGCAGCGGGCGCTGCCCCGGCTCGGAGGGTTTTTCTGTGCGCGATCCGTACCGGACGCACGTGTGGTAACCGAGGGTTAAACCGTAAAGTTCCTTTTATTATAAATCGCATCATTACCGTCGTTTTGCTTCCCCAGATCTTACTTTTGCAATGCACAGTAGGAGTTTATGCTGCCAAGGGCTGCCAGCCCCTTCTCCCTGTTTTATTTAAGCTTTTAGGTGGAAAAAATAGTAAAAAACTGGATTGTGTGGTTGTTTCATGGAAGTGGTACGGAAGTCCGTGGCAGCTGTCCCGCTTGCCTGTGCGTTGTCACCCTGCTCAGAGACTGAGCTCCATCAGCGTTCTCGGACATGGAGGTACAGCCCCGGTGTCTATTTGCACTTTTGTGGGTATCTACGTATAACAGGTTTGCAGAACTCATCAAGTAGATTTTATTTCTTAGACCTGGTAGATTACAGTGTCTCCTGTTACTAAAAAAAGTGAATTCTGGACAAGGAATAGCGTAGCTGTAGTTAGTCTGAACTTTGGAAAATGAGAGTTACTTCTCATGTTGAACTTACTAAGGGGACCATTTCTGGATGAGACCATATCAGTCTTAACAAGTAAGCCCTAAGCTTTGTTGCATTCTTACCACTTCAGTAGCCATTTATAAGACCATGACTATAGGAAAAGATATAAACGTGTGTATGTGGAGACTCTGAGTTTAAAGCAGCCACTTATTACCTGTGGAACTTACTCTGCTGTTTACTGTAAACTGGTAGTACATGTGTATTGAAAGAGAGCTGCTTTCCACCTGTTGCTGGGAAGCAAGGGTTCCCTCCACTCTGAGGGCTGCATTTTTCTCTCTACCCTGCTCCTTGCTACGTGCCCTAGTCTCTGTGCTGTGGTGCGAGGCCCTCATATCAGGGAGCTGTACCTGCTGCACCTGTGCAAGGCTTTCTTGAGGGGCAAAGGCATTGAACTGTATCAGGAGTGGTGGCAGGAACACATCTCCACCCTTGCTCAGTTGCAGTGGATTCCCAGCTACTCACAGGACAGCTGCAGACGTAAGAACTGCTTTCTATTGAAGGCCTGGAGCACTGCAGTTGCATGAGTCTGTTACTGCTACAGACTCTTGCATTTCTCTTTTAGTGGTCCTCGGGGTCATGGCTAGACTTCTCTGTATATCTTGTTTTCATTCTCCGTGTTTGCAGTCTGCTTCTGCACTCAAATCTCTTTGAGCCATGACTGCTAGTGGGCAACAGGGTTTCCATCCAGAAGGTTTCCTGCCTGAGCGGTTTGCCCAGGTAATCACAGAAAATTTGGCCTCAAGATTCTGAAGTCCATTTGTGAGGTGATCTTCTGACCATGGATAAGAAGAAAGCTTGGAAACCCAGCTGTTCATAGTGTGGTGTATTTTTAATTGACATTAATCACCTTTTCTCACTTATTCATAGATACGGTTCCTCAGAAATGTTTAGGGATGAGCAGGGACTGACAGTCATCTAGTAAAGATGCAGTCTGATATTTCAAGATCTCTAAGGGTTGATAGCTAAGGCAAAATCCAGTATTGTCTCTTCTGAAATAGCAATAATTAGAATATAATTAATGTCAGATGTTACCAAATTTTTTTAGTTTAACTTTGGATGAAAGTTTTGAGTAGACACGCATGAAAAATTCTACACACACCTTCTGTCCAACTTACAGTGTAACTTTGTGTATATATATGGGTATACACTTGGGTTTGCTTAATTATGTGTGCATATGTATGCATGTGCAGGACCATAGTAATAATAACTTTGTGATCTAGGCCTGTTTTACATAACGTAATTTTATCTCAGGAGATCCATTTTTACCTGGTAATTTGTCACCAACAGAAATTTGGAAAGCTGGATGGATGTGGTAGATTCAATGGCCATTAAAGCAAACCACTTTTCCAAATGAAAGCTCATGCAGGTTCCTTTTTTGCCCCCTCCTTTGTCTTCACACAA